GGAATAATGGGATATGAAGAAGCATAACCAAAATGAATGCAACAAATGAACTACATTGAATGCATGTATTCTCCAGATCCACTGAGTTATGGAGAAATTAGACCTGCTTATTACAGGGCAATGATCATTGAAATCTGATGAAAGATAGCCCTCCTATGAATCAACCGTTGACACATAAACACATAGTTCTAGATGAGAATAACAATGACATCTCTAGAATTGTTGAAGAACAATGCTAAGTTTGACTAACACAGCTCCAAATGGTTGGCTCTATGATCCTAATTCTTACACAATGCCACTCATATTATAGAATGTAAAGAAAGTGAAGCTAGATAATTACTTTTTTGAAAGGAAGTAGTCGTCCAGTCTTAGACCTGGTACCCTCTGGGAAAATGATCAGGGACAGATTGTTTTTCACAACTGCACGAGCTGCCTGAATATTCGATGATTAAAAAGTAGTACATAATTGATAATACAAGTATGTGGTACATGATGCAAGGCAAAATGCTGAATACCTCTTTCATGGATTCGATAGCTGCAGTTGCGTTAGAACGATCGATACGAAGATGGTTGGCCAAAACATAAAGTTGTCCAAATAGAGGATACCATATTATCTGCATAGTTTGTGAAACTTTGAATGCATTTTTTACTAGCAATCTTAATGTACATAATAATGGTTTTAAATGCCGCATTGTGTATTTATTTATTGCAATCAATGCATACATGGCAGAAATACACCACCCATTCCAAGCATTGTAAGTTTGTAAGTACATTTTTTAATCTCAAAGCATTACAACATACCTCCTTCTTAGCAATGCCAACAGTGCCTGTAGGAGTTAACCACATTATAAGAAATATATCTATTGGAGATGCATGGTTACTGATGTAAATGGCCCTCTCTTTACCGTACTCAGCACCTTCAATCTTTATAGGATTACCGAGAATCCACATCTAAAACCAACATTTGAGATATCAATCATAACTTCCAAAGTTTCTCCAATACAAATAATTTTGCCACTTCAAAAAAAACTGAACAAGACTAAGCCTTTTCTTACTTGTCATCCCAAACCAGTCAACAAAAATACTGTACACAAATTTCCAACAACTATTCACTGTATCAATGGTAGCTTACCAGCATTCTACCAGTGACATGCCCATAAATGTTTCCTTGCCTAATCCTCTCATAGGGCCATGGAATAAGCACAACCATGATCAATGCCCATACGAAAGTTGTGACCATCATAGACACAAAACATGTGACAATTCTGATCCAAGATATGATTACTGAAACCCAGCCATCATCATCTATGTACACATCCTTTCCTGTCCTTAGTTCTGACTCATTTTTCACATCAGTTTTTACAGTTCCTTCCACCCTTTGGCCAGAGTTTGTACCCAAGAAGTTCTCCAATCTTCTATTCCTCAAAAGTGCACCACCTCCACTATTCTCCATCACAAAATCTTTGAACACTTCTATACAAATAGTGGCCAAGTGGACAGGTCAAAAACAAGACAAGTTAGATGTTAATTCACTTAAAAACACACATATTCTATTTGATTGCTGAGAAATCGGATGAATAAAGACCAACAGAAATTGAAATGTAACCATTTAAAAAGAGAAAACACTTAACTTTCATAAAACATAATTTATACACTAAAGTCTACTTAGGTGTTTCATTAGGAAGTAAACAACAAACGAACAATGTTTACGTTGAAAAGTAAAAAATCCTTGGTGTACTACAAGCTTCTAGAACAACTAAAACACAGTTCTCGCAAAAGCGTTTTCAATTTTCGATGAACAAACAGAGCGACTTAAGAAGATGGTGAAAAATAACACCACAAACCAAAAAATGGAACTTGAGTATGAATACGTGAAATGAGAAAGTGGGGTGTTTATTATTTTGTTCATTTTATACTATGAAGGAGAAATTTGCAGTGTTTCTGAGCAGAGAATATAAGAGTTTTAAGAAAGAGACGATAAAGCATTGTTACCAAGTTGGCGAGTTTTTGGAGAAAGCAAAAGAAAGTGATGGAAACAGAGAATATAAACAAATCGACAAAACAGTAGCAGAGTGAAGACAACAGAGAGAGATAGAATGTGTGTCTGAGAAGTGAAAAGTGTGAGGATATGATGTTGAAACTTGAAACATACAACAACTTTTTCTCACTGCCACCTCACCACACAACAAGTTTTTTTCAATACAAATTCATCTAAATTAACACACATTTTCTTTAAAAAATAAGAAAGAAGTCATCAAGTTTGGTATATTTTTTGAAAAATAGTCAATGATAATGGAATTATATAATATATAAAATAGGAATTAATGTCTTCTGCTAATTTTTTGACTTTTATTTTGGATCTTTTGGGATACCCCATTAGTACTGTTGTGCTGTGTTTGAGCTTCAGCTTAGACAAGCATGTGATCCAACCAACCATTTCTATCCAATTCTCTCTATTTTCTTAGATATGCTTTTAATCAGCAAAATTTACTTCCTTTATTACTTAGTCCTAAAAAATTTCAAATTAATTGTAGTTCTAACAACTTTATTTCATTTCATTTCATTTTTATTTCATTATCTCAACTTTATTAAATGATAATATGTTATCTTTGCCTATCTTGTTATCTCTATTTTTTATTTCTCGTGCTATTTATGTCTTATGTCACATCATCACACAATAAATTTTATCTTTCAAACAAAATTAAAGAATTAGATTTATAAGGACTCATTTTTGGGTAATAAAAACAAAATATATCCTACTTGATTATAACTACTTGATATTAGTCAATCATTTTAATTATTTTAGGTTAAGATTCTCATTTAAATTATATCTCATGACAAAAAAAATTAAATATCTTTGTATAATGTATATGAAGTAATTATAATCCACTTATTTCTATTATTTTTCTCATGTTACATTCATAAATATTAATCAAATGAACAAAAACAGTTAAGAAGTAAAATATTATGGAAACGGGTTCGTGATTGTTGGTTCAATCAATAAACAGGTGAATCAGTTTCAATACCGCTACGTTACAATAATTATATCAGTCATACAATTATATCGGTAAAAAACTGACCAAAATCAATCATACAGTCCGGTTTTCAATTAAGTCATACTGGTCATACCGACCAATTTCATTTAAAATTCTTTTTTTAATGAAAATGACTTATTTTTACCAAAATATTAGTACGGGATATCAAACACACAACTAGTATATTTTTATACTTCTAAAACATTGTCTAAAATCAAGTGACACATTTTTGTTTTAACAAATTGTATAAATAAAAGTCGTTATTGTTTTCTTATTGATTTTCAACATTAATGTTAGTATAAAATATATATATAGTTTTACTAGTTTGCGATTTAATCAATAAACTATCAGTTTAACTACTATATCAATACATTCATCGTTTTGATGACTGATACAATATTAATAATATTGATAAAAGAAGTTCTAGATTTCATACTTGTATATGATATTAATGAAATGTATTGATTTTATTTACAATTGAAAAGATCATTTAACCTATTTTAAAATCAATGTGGTGTTTTTTAACTTGAAATTTTGACTTTTGTTTGGTACATTTAATAGTTGAAAACTTATAAGTCATCCCGGAACTTATAGCTTAGTTGAAAAACTCATAAGTTAAGAACAAACTAAAAGTTCATAACCTAGTTGATTAAAAGGAATTCATTGGTATGAATATCTTAGGCGATAAATGTAAAATAAAGAAAGTTTCTGAAAAGGAAAGTCTAAAAATTATATAAAAAGTAATAGTAATATTTATAATTAATTAATTTCCATTCACAACATCAAATGTAGAGATTTGATTCCATATCTAAATTTTCTACACCCTTTTGTTCTAAAGTTAATCAAAAATCTTAATTTTTGCTATATAAAAATGTACTTCCAAAACAATTTTCCCATATTTAATATCTATACTATATATAAAGCTAAAACATCTTATAGCTACCTATATGGTATAATTTTTCATTGCATATTTCGCCATTCTAATTAACCATTATTATAATGTTTACCACACAATAAAAGAAACATCAATGAAAGTTAGAAGTTACATATATTAAAATATCAAACTACTAATGTAATTTTTAATATAACAATTCATTCTTATGTTTTTATATTACATAAATTATAATATCATGCACACTTAATACAAAAAAGGTGATATAATTATCTAAAATTAAATATATAAAATAAATATTTAATACTTTAAAATAAGAATGCGGGTCGGCAGATACAAAATGACTGTTGACACGCTACTTATAATAACTGTTTCTATTCTTTAGAAAATTCCGTATAGAGTCATTAACAATACCTATATATATTAATATTTGATGATGAAAACCTAAGTGGTAAACCATTAGTTGCCTTCAAAACTTCCCTTATCACTCATCCATGGAGTCTTCTATTCCCTCTCATGGTTACTAGTTGTTTTCACTGATGTCATTACCTCATTGCTTGATGAAGATTTCAATACTGACCCATATTATTAAGCTTGTCATACAAATTTAATTTTGTGTTATAAATTATTTCTTATTATTTAATTGGTCATATAAATTGTTTTTCGTTAATTTTATAGGTTGAAATTTATGGCACACATTTAGAAAATAATAATAAAGTAGTTTTGTAGTAGTCATTAAAAATTGAGAATTAGGAGGAAAAAGTTAATGGAAGAACATAAAAAAGAATTGAAGGAAGAAATTATAAACAAAAAACTTCAACCTAACCACTTTCACTCAACATTTACACATATATCTTGTTATTTTAATTGACAATAAATAAAATAAATTAGACAAATAATATAGAATAGAAGATTCAAACATGTAGCGGGGATAGCTCAGTTGGGAGAGCGTCAGACTGAAGATCTGAAGGTCACGTGTTCGATCCACGTTCACCGCATAAAACATTTTTCCTTTTAAAGACAAAAAGTTGGTTTGATATGATTTCGTTTTAAAGAGCATTTTATCAAACACTTTGCCTCCATTTCCTATCCAATCCTAATCAAACATTCATTTACCTTTAATTGTGAGCTTCTTCTCCTGGGTACGATACCTAACTTTATCTGTCTTCAATTGTGAATCATACAAGTTAAAATGTGTCTCCTCCTTCTGCAGTGTAGTAATGGATTATTAGAATCAAATTAGTACTCTATCAATGGGAGCCAATTTCATTGAATTTAAATTTTAATGCTTTTTTCTATTAATTTTCTTCTATTTTTTGTTAAATTAAATAGTTGGGTTTTTGCTTATATATCTTTAGATTTTCAGATTTGGTAACTATTCCATTTGATTTTTTGGAGAAGCTCCTTGAAGCTGGATTCACCTTTCTCTGGGTTTTGCTTAAGTAGATTGGATTTGCTTTCGCTTCATCTTAACTATTTTCATTATGTTGTGATTTTCTGCTGTGTTAGTTATTTCTCATTTATTTTAGTTATCAATTTTCCATGGACACAATTTCATAATAGATTTTTATAGCTGAGTTGGCATTCTCAAATTGAGGCTATTATGATCTGTGGTTGCTATCTCATGATGGCATATAGGAAGAATGTGTATCTTGTATAATAAGTGTACCTTTTTTTGAGATCACGTTCTCCAGATTATATATAATTGTTCAAGTTGATGATGTGATAGGATTGGAAGTGAGGGATAGATAGAAAGATGAAGCTTATAAAAAAGGTGTGAGAATATTACCACTCTTTCAAAATTGATGTTCTGATGTTGTTTATTAGATGCCGGGACTATGTTTTTGTTGGTGAATCTAGTGACTTCTCGACCCTTTGACTCACTTCCAATATTATAAAAACCGGCTCGGACCTGCCGGTTTTACGGTGAACCAGGTATCTGATTGATCTCAATCGCTCCTCCGGTCGGTCTTGTGTCAAAACCGGGACGACTCGGTTTAAGTCTAAAATCGGTCATTGATGGGACTGGTTGAGTTAATCACTTTTTTAAGCTCCAAAAGGAAGTTGTGACGGAAAAAATATGTTATTTAAACTTATTTGTAGTTATGTTTGTCATTTGTTATGTTGTAACAAAATTTTAGTTGTTTAATTAAGTTTTAAACTTATTCTTGGAGTAAGTGGATCCCCTCCCTAAACTTAATTGTGCACTTTTGTTGTGATTAAAGCGTAAAACCTATGTTATTTGTTGATGTTTTGAACTTTTGTGACATTTTGTGATAGTAAAATCCTCCTTGCTGATTGTTTAATTATGTACTATTGTACTTGTGTAATGATAATGTTTGCAGTATAAAGTTATTAAATAATGTTTGCTACTATTATGATTTTTTTATTTTAAAAATCAATGTAAACTTAGTCAACTGGTCCGACAAATGATTCATTGACCCAATACTCTGACTGAATGGATGATTGTTCCGAGTTTAATAACAATGTTGACTTCCTCTTCCACCATATGATGTCTATCTCTTATCTGTATACAACTTTTGCTTTATATCCTGACTTGGCATGTGGAAGTGAAAACAAATAGATTAGTTCAGTGAGAAATTTGATTATTATGACTTGAATAAAAATCTTTTACATCTCAAATCATTGAGTGACAGTAATGTGTAACAGATCATTGAATAATTCTAGTGGCAGTATCCATCTGAAAGACTGGAATATTTGGATCTTTAATTGGAGATAATAGGAAGCATGGCACAGACTCTTGAAGATATTAAGGGTGGAGGAGGATCTGTTAAGCTAGGAACCACTGGAACAATCGGTTCCTTAATGACAAGGGAGTTGGATCAGATCTCTTCTGCACCAAACAAGCAGATATCATCTAGAAGTAAACCTCGAGCGCTTCCTGTTTCCGTTGCATGTGGTACTACAATTCAGAAAAGACTACAACCAAGAAAATCATCATCACCCGAAGCTAGTGGCAGTGGAAGCAGCACTAACAATACAAAACTTAAAAGTCCTGGAATGACACGTAAAACAAAAACTAATGGCAGAAATAACCATAGAATGCCTATGCTAGGTTCCGATAACTTTCCAGTGGACAGAACTCCATCCAGGCAGAAAAATGATAAAAAGATACATACCATTGTTGAAGTTGTCGACATAAAATGTGGGAATGCAGATAAGGCTTGGGCTAACCCTTTAACAAATCGTCTTAAGAGGCTCGGTTTCTCAAAGCTCTCTGAGAGCTTTATCTAAAGCTGAAATTTTTGTTTGTCAGACTTCAGATTCCTGTAACTGAAAGCAGAAGTCCTATTTGGCTTGCAGTTTTCTGATACATCAACCATTGAACACATGCTTGGTAAGAGCTTGCTACTTCCTCTTTTTTTCTTTGTACTTTCTAATGTAGATGCAATTGTAGTAGCTCTAGAAGTTGTGCTAACGGAGGATCCCATTTCGGTCATCTGGGACTTGTTTATCTGTGACGTGCCTTGGGAATTCAATTCGATCCGCTGAAAGTACTGAATTTCTTGCATTATGAGGGATCCAACTGTGCCTCGGGTCCCTATTTGTACTGGAGGAAATTCAGCCATCTCTTTTGTCTCACTTGTGGCGAGGCTAGTGGACTTGTGCATGTTTTATTTGGTTGGTGTTGAGGAGACTGGAAAATCTACTGATTTAAGAAGAGTTGTTTGTGGCTTTGTTCGAGTGGGGAAATTCCAAAGACTGTGGGGCATTTTCTTAGGTTTCAAGTGGAATGCTTCACATTATGTTCAATATCTGATGAACATGGCATAATGCCATATAATAAGTCTGTGTTGTTAGGAGATTGGTTGATGACATGATCACTGCATTGATGTGCTTGCAGTTAAAACACTAAGTTCCTAACTACTATACCACTCTTTTAACTTTTTTAGGTTTCATCAGCATGTTCCTAGGTACACTTTAGGTCATTATTTGAGACTCTTGCCAAGATGGAATGGATATGAATATGTGATGGGATTCATGTGAAAGGTAAAAGTAGGATGATCCCTTTCATTGACTATTTAAGTAAGATGGTGTTGTATTCTTGTGTTTTAATTGGAAAGGAAGAGTAGTAGGGTAACTGTCTCAAAGAAGTAACTATTTAGTTGGGTGTTGTATGGGAAATTCTGGATAATTTTGTTTTTGTTAGTAATGTCTACTTTGTGACTTAGAGCATTGATGGTAAAGTTGCACCATTGATGTAAATTTGGCTTGAGTTATTTAAGTTGTTGAAAAATGTAAACAAATATAAAATATGCACATGAAAAAGATATTTAAAATTATTTACTAATTCTATATGTTGTATTTATATCAATAAGTGGAACTTTTATTTTGAAACAAGTCAAGAACCCTTTAGGTAGGAAAAACAAGATGAAGGATTTGTATATTTTCTACACTCAATATTTTATTGTTGTTGTTGTTTTGCAGCTATATTATTATGCTTCCCGAATCATGATTTGATATATTTAAATTACTCTATGCAATTGCATTATACAACCTTTATTATAAATAATTAAAATTGCATTATGGAACCCATTTTTCTTCCCTTTAATCTACAGTTGTTCATATAAAATTATTGTTAAGTTCATCAATCACCACCACTTGTGGACCCTCTTCGGTCATCAGGGGTATTTTAATTCACTTGTACTTTTCATGACTATAGATTCCATTTCACAAGCTACCAAATAATCATATACTCACAAGCTAAGTAGTAGCTATTAATTAAACACTGCATGATGAAGTGTTGTTCCTTTTATGTATCTTCAATAATAAATCAACATTAGGTATCATATATGCCATCACTGAAAATTCTAAAAAGGGTATTTTCTACCAAGTTAAATAACTATTAAGTTGGAATGCTTGCCTAACACATGATCTATATATAGTACTTGAATCATAACTATATTTTTCATGTCAGTAAATACCTGAATAAAACTTTTGTCCTTTGCTCCATAGACTAGAGCAAAATTGTCATAACCAGTAGCAATCACATCTTAAGCTTCCTTGAGAATGTAGGAAAATAAAGATAACACTTTTCTTTGATCATTTCCTGTTTCTCTAGCTCTGTCTCATTTTTCTCCAAATCTTCTACTTAAAGAAATTAAACTTTTCCTCCAATTCCGGTTATATCTATTTACACAAAAGGTATCAACTTAGATAGATGGTGCTTCCCTATCAAATCTATATACTCCTTTGAAATGTCATCACTATAATCAAATTAATATCATGAAGCTTATGAATGCCAAATAAGCTTGAAAAATAACTAATAGCATCTAAAAGGAATCAATATAACCACCCAAGTAAATGAAAAGTTTTATTTCCAAGTTGCACTAGACTATTATAATGAATGAGAGAATTTTCCAAACATGTCTGTTAAATAATCAGTGACCTTACTATTCTGTATATACCTCTGATTCTCTGAATGAACAATTTGGAAGGAAGCTAAGAAGAAATTAAGAACAAGATAAATGTACAATGGAATTCATTGTATTAGATGATTTACCAAAGAGAAGTACACAACACCTTATATAGGTTACATACCTCATACTACAAGCAAGGATATAATAAGATAAATAACTATCTTTCTTAACTAATACAAACGATTACAACTACCAAAAGGGAAAGAAAACAAGGCAAAGTACAATTCCTTCAGCAACAAGTTATCACCTGCAATTCATCCTTACATGCTTATGCTTTCTAACAAGATTCATTGTCAAAATGATGGATTAACTGAATTATCATTGGCATGAGCAATTAAGTTGATACAGAAAGCTGCATTGTACACTTCAACAATGTACTTCCTCACACACCCCTGCATTATATGGAAAAGTTTTTGTTCTTAAAAAATAATGGTACATTTTCTTTGAGTTATCTCTTGATGCCAGCTTTACATTAATAGTACTGGGCTCATGTTGAAAAGTAAACACTGTATCAAAAGATAGTATACAAAATATTGTGTTGCACTACTACCCACTTCTGATATTAATTTGTATTTTGTACCACTGTTATTTACAAAATAACTATAAAATTGTTGCAATTATGAAGAGCAAAAAAGAGTATTTTTAATTTCTTTCATAATTAACTTTAAATTTTAATGTCTCTTTTTTTGGTGCATGCAATCTTAAATATGCTGCAGTAATTGAATTCAACTCATAATAATGGTACGGTGTGTGTGGAGCCAATTAGCTTGTGGAGGTCCTTAAAGGTGTATGAAAGACGGGTTCAACAAAACCTTGTGATGATAAACTCAATACTCCATCATTTTCTTTCACAAAATACTAAATTTTGGTGCTGAATGTAACATTTTCTTAGGTCCTTTTCCTTTCCTTTTTTGTATCTATCCTAATTTGTATTGGCCTGCAGCCTGATAGGACTATCCATTTAATATTGAAAATTTGTAGAAAACTAGTTTACATGTAGCTTCTGTATTTTAGAAAACCTTATCCATAACAATAACCTCTAAAATATTATCCACAACCAGAGCAGCTACTACAACAACACAGCATCTATTATATCCTGGAATAGCTTTTAGCCCAATATAGTTTCCTATTGCTGCTTCCACCATTTGCTTTTCACAACCTTCAATTTTTGGCAACAGAGTTGGCTCTTAATTCTCCACCAATCAGGTTTGGCTCTCTTCTCTTTTAAGCATTTTTCATTTTCCTTCTTATACCCTTAAGAGAGTTCTAATCAAAGTGTATGTTAACAATTAACATGCACTTAATAGCTTGGTCACTTTGTTATGACATGTTTAGTTGTTTATGAACCAAACTGAAATCCACACACACACACACTGAAATAGTAATATAAATATATGAACCATGTCTAAGAATTACTTGGAATAAGTATGCACACAGCCCAAGTATCACCAAAAAACAACACATGCACAGTGAGGCACAACCTTTTGAGAAAACTCCTAACTTTTCTACTAATGAGATGCGAATCTTAAGATTAGTAAAGAGCAGCCATTGGCCTCAATGGCTATTTTATAGTAAGAATAATCATAACACAAGCATACTCAGATTATTAACAAAATCCTTACACTAAGCAGCGTCTTGAGATTATCCTCATATTACATAAATAAAAACGTTTATTCATCCAACTTATTGACAATTCAGAAATTATATTAAACAAAGGCAAAACAAAACAAAACTACTCATTTATATGATGATAATGTTTCTCAGCAGTGTCAGTATTTTGA